AAGGTGCCACATCCAGAGGGGCAGGAGGGAGCGAATGTGCCAGGAGCTCCTGGCAGCACCGGGATGAGCCTCGTGACTCTCGCCCAAGGCGGCCAAGCTGCCCCAGGGGTGACTTCCCGGCAGAGCTTTCAAAACCAGGCAGCACCCGATGGGTTTGGCTTGGGCCAGGCAGATTTGGCCTTTTCTCTCCAGGCACAAAGGGCACCCATGCTCTTGGTCAGCCGGGCCCCTCAACGTTGCAGGGGATGAGGCATGATCTTCCCTTCCTTCCCCTCCAACTTTGCACCATAGAGACCCATGCAGCCCTTCTCCCCAGCACCCAGTCCCCTTGGGTATAAATGGGGGGCAGGCGCTCAGCAAGCCGCACGCCTCGGCCCCATCCCACGCTGGAAGCAAGCAAAGAGGCTGCCAGCAACGTCTTCTCCTGGGGGTTAATCATTGATTGTGGCCAGTAATAAATATTTCAGCAGGGATTTGCACGCAAGCCCTGAGATAACAGCAATGGGAGGAAGGATGAGTCCCGTGTGCCTGGCTTCGCTGCCGCCCTCCTGCACAGAGCTGCCTACACAAGTCCTCCTGCTTCTTGGAGGGAGAGTATTTGTTCTTGTGTGTTGGGAGCTCTGAGGATGTGGCAAAGCTCAGGAAACCCCTTCCCAAGGGCTATGGTCTCAGGATGCTCCACACCGGAGATGTCCTCCCAGGAGGAGGAGTTCAGCCCTCCAGTGCCTTAAGAAAGGTGGAATGTGGCAAACGCAGCGCTCACCCTATTGCACTGGGCAAGAGCTAATGAAGGCAGTTTGCCATCTGCAGAGCTTTCTTGCTTGTGCAGCCACCACTTACCTTGCAGAGAAAAAGCAGAAATGGGTGGAAATGTGGTGGGGGGGTGTCTCCAGTCATCCCTGCAGTGACTGGGGGGACACTGAGTCCCACAGTGCCATGAACATTGATCCTGGCCATGCCGAGCTCAGCCAGCCCCTGTGCTGGAAGAGACAGACAAAAGCAATAAGCTGAGGCTTAGGGCCAGACCTTGCCACCATCCTCCTGCCCCTGAGCTGCAGCTGAGACACCAGGAACATCCAAGAGGCTGCAGAGAGAGGGGTTCCTCTATAGAGGAGCCAAATACATTCTCCCCTGCCTGCATCAACCCAAGGATGCTGGAAATGAGAAAACCAGGTCCAGAGTGTGCTGGGTCCTGCCTGTGGCTTGTGCAGCAGGAGGACCCCCAACAAACGGTCCCCGTGATGCAGCTCAGACCGGAGCAGTGCAGGGGGATGCTCCAAGCACCGGATGAAACCTCCCCAGCCAGCAAAATCACAGCAATGCTGGGTAAAGGCACCTAAGAGGAACCCAGTGCAACCCAAGCAGCAGAACAGACACTGATCATGGTGAAACTTGCTCTTGGTCACCCCACTTCTAAGCCACATCAGTGGCATCACTGATGTTTCCCCATCAGTGCAATGAGGGTAACAATAGAGCTACCGGATTAAGGAGGGCTCTGGAGGTGGCAAACACACCCTGCTCTTCATTAGCCCGCAGCAGTTACCCAACAAGCTGGGCTGATTGTTTCCAGAGCTGCCTTAGAGGATCCAGTTTCCCCTTTCCCAGGGACATCAGCAGGAATTAGGCACCCGAATCCTAAACGCAGCTTTGCAGGGCTCAGTGGCAGAGCAGAATGAGGTGCCCCCATCCCCAGGGTCACCCTCTGGTCCCCCACATCCCTCCCGACAAGGGCGGTCGATCAGTGCCTGCAGCATCGCAGAGCCCTGCTGAACTGAAGCAGCAGGGAATGATTTCAAGCACCTTATTTTCCTGGGGATGTGGCAGAGGTGCAGCTTTTCCCAAGCACTGAGCACCCCTTTCCCCATCAGACCTCCTCCCAGGCCTGAAACACAAAAGAGAAATAGGGATACCCGCTAATTCACACGTGCACCCCCCATCCAACATCACAGCAAACTCAGGGCTCGCACTCCTGAAAGCACCAGCATTAAGCCTATAATTATCAGGTGATTTAGGAATTTGCCCCCGGAATAGGGCTACGGGAAAACACTGCTCTGGTGAGTGTTAAATCTGCTCAGTGGGGGAGAAGGAAGGAGCTGTTTAATCAAGTTAAAAGGACAGTTTCGGGGTGGGTCTGGGGCTGTTTGGCCACATGGGACTTCATCAATGGGGCCAGCGGGAAACAAAGCCAGGAGGGGAAACAAAGGCCTCATCCCTGTCCTCCCTCCTGCCATGGCCGGCCCCACAAGCACCCCCACCAGGGATAACCCCTGCATTGGGCTCAGCTGCCACTGGAAGGGGGGGAACAAATCACTTCTTGTTTCCCTGCTTCCAGACGCTGTCACTTGCAGATCTCACCCTGAACCCGCACTGGGTGCAGGCTTTAACTCAGGAAAACTGCAAAAACAAAAGGGGAAATGATCTTCCCGGCCTGAAGCCCTGGGCCCAGCACTGGGATCTGATGGAATGCCAGCACCCTGCATCGCTCCACTCCCCACCTTGCTGCACGGGCATCGCATAGGGATTCCTTCCTGTTTAACACAGGGGATGCTGCCCCGAGCCCCCTTCCCATGGGTGCAGACCTCACTGCTGTGCATTGCCAGGCTATTTCCAATGCCCCCTGGGTCCTCCTGGCCTGGCAAACACACCCTGAGCACCAAATCAATCCCTTTTCCCCAAATCCCTGTTTATTTTCCCCATTTCCCCTACTTGCACACAGTTGCATGCTGGTTTCCCATCGGAAGGCTTCTCACGGCTGCAGGAAGCATCTCAGCACCAGTCTTTAGTTTCGGGGGACCACTGCAGCACTGTTTTGCTTTAAACACCAAGTGGTCACCCCACACGTGAACCCGGATGGGGGGGGTTCTAGCATGGCCTCACCAAGCAGGGAATTGCCCGAAGTTCCAGGGATTAAAGCAAGAAGGAGCAGCCCAGGTTGTTTGCAGCTCTCTGGTTACAGCCATTCACTGCTGCTGCAGAATAAATAACGAGGGATATTAATAACAACGAGCCTCTGCCAGGGACAGAAACCAAATTCCTCACCAGGCCCACAGCAAAGGGGAGAAGCCCAAGTGTGGCCATGGGCAGGGCTGGGGTTGCTGCAGACAGAGGGTACCCTGGCACCTCCAGATGCAGGGGAACACTGATTTGGGTCAAAGAGATGCTCAGGGTCTGCACACCCACCCCTGTCTGGGTGCAAAGCACTCAGGTGAAGGAGATCCATCACCATTCCCGAGTTGGGGACCTGGAGCCAGGCTCAGCTCCGGTGCAAGAGGGGCGATGCTGGCTCTTTGTGCAGGCATTTTAAAACATGTCAGGCTCTCACAGGGTGATTTTTCCCCCTTCTTGGCTTTCATTTTTTAATCATCCCAAAGGGACAGTGCTTTGATTGTGCTTTGGGCAGGGGAATTTGCAGGGGATTTGAAAAATCCAAGGGAAAATCAGCAAAACCAGTGCCACGAGCCTGGCTCCGTTGATCTGCTCCTTTTAGCACCACAAACCTTCCCGGCTGAAGCAGTTTTGCACATGCAGGCATTGATGCTCCCAAGTTTCACAGTTTTAAAGGTGCTTTTTTCTTTCCGTTAATAAAAACTTGCCTGAAACCCAAATCCAGCTTCAGGCAGTTTAAAGTTCAGCTCCTAACTCCAGATTCCGCATCAGGATAGTCAAAAGCACCTAAATTGGAGTTTCTATTACATCTGTGATTGGAGTTTCTGGAGGAGTTTGGGAAGAAGTCTCAGTGCTGAGAGGAGATCTGGATTTCCTTGTATCCACCAAGAAACTCCCCATGAGATCCCCAGTGCATGCTTTGGAAAACCTTGTACCTGACACAATGGGGTTTCAGGGTATGACCTGGAGAGGTGATCCCAGCTCCTACTCCAGACCGACTTAAACCGCTTCCAAACCAGATCACAGGAATTCGGAATAAAGCTCTTTCCCTGCACACCAACCCCACCATCTGCTTAAACCCCAGGGAGAGCCCCTGGGCTGCTGACCAGCTCCCAAACCCCCCCGGTGCTCAGCGGGCAGCACTTCCACACCAGCCTCCCATGGTGCTGCAGTACAAAGATACACTAAACATCCCAACACCACCCAGCCGGGCCTGGGATGCCCCAGGGATGCAGCCCCCACCGCCAGTGCCTACAGTCAGGGACCGGAGGCTTTTTCGGTGTGAGTGTATGGGGCTTAACCCGGCGGGGATGCAGCGAAAGGGAAGAGCATCATGCTTTGCTCATGGGTGCTGGAGCCGGTGGGTGGTACAGCCCCTACGGAGATGCGAATCCCCCCCCCCCCAAGCCTCAAACAGCGCTGTCCGCTCTGCCGGGGGCGCTCAGCACCGAGTGGTACCCACGCCCCCCGCACGGCCCCACCAGGAGCATCCCTTGAGCATCCCTTGCTGAGTTAGGGGGGGGGTTCTCCTCCACTCCCCCCCTCCCACCCCGGGGGGACCCTCCGCCGGCTCCGGGGCTCGGGGCGGGGGAGCAGCAGCCGCCGCCCGCCCGCCGCAGCCCTTTGAACGGACCTATCGGTCCCGGCCCCGCCGCCGCCCGCCCCCGGCCGTGATGCAGCCGGGCTCCTCCTCCCCCCCGCTCCGCAAGGGCTGGAAGCTCCCCTTAGCCTGGTTGCCCTTATTTAATTTCGAGTGTGATTTTGCTATTTTTAGCAGCTGGATCCCCTCCAGTAAGGCTGGGAGCTCGCTCCTTTTTTTTTCCCCCCTTTCTCCCCCCCTTCCCGCCCCCCCCCTCCTTTTCCCTATTTTCCTTTTTTTTCCTCGTTCCTGCAAATGATTTTGATCCAGCTTCCTTCCTCCTGGAGCATTCCCCCCCCCCCTTTATTATTTATATAAATAAGAGGGGGGCCTGGCTGAGCCGTGGATGCGTGTGTGAGTCGCAGCCTCTCTCTGCCTTCTCCTTTCAGATCCGCATTTGCGAGCAGCAGCCGCCGCCGGGAAGGGGTGGGGGGGGTTTAATTCTCTTCACAACACAAGACACGCCAGGATCAAAAAAATAATAATAACCCCCCCAAAAAACACCAAACCGCCCCCAAAAAACCCACCCCAAGCACCCGGCTCCGGGATCAAGCTGACTGTGAGTGCCGGCCTTCCTCTTTCCTTTCTGCTCCGGGGGGGTGCGGGGAGGGCCGGGGGGGGGGGTGGTTGGGAAGGGGGAGAGCCGGGTTCTCCCCCCCCCGGCCCCGTCCGCATGCTGTGCACGATCGCCCCCGGGTTGCTTGGTATGTGCAAGGACGCGTGTGTGTGCGTGCGGCGGCCCGGCTCCGCAATGCCTCTCGCTATTATTGTTGTTATTAATTATGGGTATTAATAGTGCGATGCACCTGGCGGGGCGGGGGGGGGGGGGAGCAGGGGGGTCCCCTGCGCTCCGGTACTTTGACTCCACTTGCGCGGTGCCGGTGATGCGCGGCCGCGGCCCCCGCCCGGGCTCGCAGCGTGCGCGGGGCCGTGCAAGGTGCGCGGGGCCGCGGCCGGTGCGTGGTGCGGGATCGGGACCGTGCGTGGGGCCGGGCGGACGGGGACGCGCACGGGGACGCGCACACGCACACGAGTGCGGGTCGGTGCGAAGTTGCGGTGCTGGGGGCTCACCCCCCCCCCACACTCCGCACGGTGCCCACGCTGCGGGACCTTGGGGCCGCGCACCCCGCACCCAGCCCTCCTTTTGCGGGGGGGGGGGGCGGTGGAATGTGACCCAGGGCTGGCTCCACCCGGGGCTTTATTATACCCCGCAGGACAGGGGCTTCACAAAGCGTGTGATGGTGCCTTCCTGCCTCTTTTCTTTCTCCCCCACCTCCCTCCTTCCTTTCTTTTATCACTTCCTTTTATTATGCATGCCCAGGAAGGAAGGGGGGGGGTGACTTTCCTTAATAGCAGGCCTGGGAGGGGGCTTCAAAGCAGCCCCATGGAGGGTTTGTCTAATGAGGAGCCCCGCACATCCCTTCCCAGCCCTCGCACCCCTGCCGAACAGGCTCTTCAACTTCTGCTCCACTATTCCTTCCCCTCCTCCCTCTCCCGTCCTCCCTCTGCCAGGAGGTGCGGCCGGGATCCTTCTCCAGCTGCAATCGGGCTGGATTTCCTGGGCGTGAAGAGGTTTCTGCTTTTTTCCCCTTTAAGATCTAAGCCACCGCCTGTCTCCTGCCTCTCCTGGGCTGGTTTGTTTAATCTAAGAGTAGGTGGCAGGAGCAGGAGCGGGGGATTTATGGGGTTATTTGCACAGAGCAGCGTAAGCCAGCGCGGGCGGGCTGGGGAGGCAGGAGCAGGCCCAGGGGGAGCGAGGAGCATCGCTCCGAGGGACCAGGTTGGCTCTTTTGCAACCCAAACCATGCTTGTGCAAGGGGTGGCTGCTGAGGACGGCCCAGCTCCTGTCTTGGAGCACACAGTGGGGCTGGGGAATGAGAGTCCGGTGGCTCCCCATCCATAGCGATGGAGAGGGGAGGAGGTTTTCTTCCCCCAGCTCCATCGATCCGGAGGCAGATGTAGCCCTTCCACCTCCAAACCTTGCACAGATTTATCTCTCCCGGCCTCGAGGAGCCTGGCACCCCCCTGCCCTCCTCTCCGACTGATTCCTCCCTGCGTGGAAAGGTTTCTCTCTTCAGCTGCTTCCTTTCCTCCATGGCAACACTGCTGCTCCCTCCCTCCTTCCCTCCCTCCCATACGGCTTCGATGCACATGAGCGGGGCTGGAACTGCTTCCCGCGCTGTGTCCGGCACCATCGGGATGCACCCAGGGCCAGGCAGGTGCTGCCGAGCTGGGGCCGCCCTCGGGTGCTGGCTGGGAAGGTGCTGGGGTGGGAGAGGGGAGCATCCCCCAGCTCCATCCTCCTCCTCATCCCCCTTAGAGCCCTCAGCCCCCGGGGCTGATTTCAGCCCTGAGGCCACAGGGGCAGCTTGGAGGTGGCAGAGGGATGGGATGTGCGCATCCTTTCCCCAGCACCAACTGTGGCAGCAGGCTCCGGCTCGGGGGCCATTCCCAGTGGGAAAGGTCCCTTCAGCATCCCCGTCTGGAGCCGCTGCGTGGGGCCGTGTCTGTCCCAGCACGGCGCAGTGGGGGCTGAACTGGGCCCATCTGTTTCCAGCTTCGGGAGAGGGTACGGCGCAGCTCGGAAGCTGTGTTTCCTCTGACAAAGATTGACTTGAAAAGAGACAAACCCGTCCCAGCCCCTGCTCAAACGGCGTTTTTCTGCCCTAAATCTAAACCATTCCTCTCTCCTTTTTGACTAAGAGACCCCTCGAAGGGCTCCGGGCTGCTCTGAGTAATGCTTTCGGGGTGTTTACACGGCAGCGTGGTTTCTGTCTCGCTGTTGTTGTTGTTTTGCACTCGTGAGTCACTTCCAGGGGGGAGCAGGAGCTGACGCGTGGTTTCTAACACGCCTCGAAGGTCTGAGCCTGGCTCCTGGCACTGCACATCCCACCCGTGCCTGCTCCCAGCCATCCCCATGAGGCTCAGCATCCCTTGGGATGGGAGGGGTCAGCACCCCGCCTGCCCCCAGCAGCCCTGCGCTCTCCGGTAGCGCTGTCCCAGCTGCTCTAATGCTGCCCAAATAGAAACCAGTTGCTCAGTAGGGGTTATTAACCCTGTAGGCAGAGATAGGCAGAGTGCCTCCGTCTTTGCATGCAGAGCATCCCGGGGAGAGGGGGCTCAGGGGGGTTGCTCCATCCATCCCAGAGCAAAGCTGTGATTGTTCTCCCAGGCAGCTCCAAGCCCCATGCTTACGGGCAGCGAGATGGGGCTGCTTCCATTGGGAATCATCACATCACCTCCCCCACACATGGCCACAGTCTCCCAACCAGGGAGCAGAGTGGGTGCTCTGCACTCAGGATCACCATTAAGAACTAGGGCTGTGGTAGCAATCCTGCTCCCTTCAGCCTGGAGCCCATCCTCCTGGCTCCTGGGCTGGGAGCTGGGTGTGGATTTGGCCCCACGGCTCTGGAAGAGCCGGTTTTCCCTATGCCCCATGGTAAGCGTCGAAGTGGAGGGGGGAAGATGGAGCCTTTCCCTCTGTGGGATTTCCCTATGAGCAAAGAAAGACACCCGGCCCTTTGGAACATTCACAGGGAAGGGGTCCAGTGTCCCTTGGACAAGGGACCAGTCTGGGGGGTCCTTATCCTTAAACCCAGCTGGGGGGACAGGAGCAAGGTCGGGGTGCAGTGGGGCTGGATGTGGGGAGCAGGGCTGTGGGAGCTATGTGGGGCCCTAGGGCCCCATGGGGATGCCCAGAGGCCCTGTGCCACCATTCACCTTGTTCCAACTTGCCGGCACTCCAGATTAAACCCGGAGCCACTTTCCTCCTTTCTGGAAAGTGAATGGGCTCTGCAGGAACGGGCAGAGCTGCTGCTCCCCAAATGCTTCCTGGGGACCCCGGGAGCTGCCATAGCACTGGGGCACTGATTGATGCAGCGGGTGTTGTGCCATGGGATGCACAGCAGGGACCAAAGGCCTGTTTGCAGGAGGGACATGGGCGCAGTCGGGGTGGTTTTGCAGCAGTAGGAGGGATGGGCTTTGCCTGCTTTGTGTTCCTGGGGCACAAAAGCCCTGCATTCCCCGGTGTGGTACTGCTGAATGGGTTCAAAAATACAGGTGGGGTCCCTTCTAGGCATAGCTTTTAGTGATGCTTTTGGTTTCTCCACCACGGGCTGGTCCATGCAGGGAGAGGAGCAGGATGCAGGCGAGCCTCTGGGAAGGGATGGAATAAGGTAGAAGCGGCTCGTTTCGGCTGCATGATAATTCTGAGGCATTATTAGAGGGGGTCCCTGGTTCTTGTCACTTCCTGTCTGTGCTGATACCCCACTGCCATCCCCATCCCTATAAGGGGACCAGGAGGTGGCTGTGGGGGGCTGAGCATCCTTACCTGGGGGGTAGCAGGGACAGGGCATGGCCATGACCCCATGGGAGGCTCTGGCTGCTCCACTCATCCCTCATCCCAGCGTGGCCAAACCATCACTGACCAAGCTTCTTCCCCCTCCTGCTCCTCACTGCTGCTGGAAGGACCATGAGCGAATCCAGCGCCAAATCCAGCCAGGCCCTGGCTTCCAAGGGGGAGAAGGACGTGTCGGAGAAGAGGGGCCGGGGGCGACCCAGGAAGAAGCCGCAGGTACGTGGGGCTCCCCAGGAGGTGGGGATGGACCCCAATGGGCAGCTCTGCCCATAGCGATGCCCTCGGGGCCGGGCACCCCCATATTACAGGGCAGCAAGAAACATCCCCCACTTGCACCCCAAGCAGCATCCCCCGGGCAGGGATGGGGATGCCTGCAATGAACCCCCATCACTGCCCTTTGGGCAGCTCCTCCTGCTGCTCAGAGCCCTCCCAAGGGGTTTCACACCCCTTTAGCTCTATAACACCCCACTGCTCCTGGGTGGGGAAGGGCTTGAGGCCTCCCCTTGCTCCATCCCAGCCTGAACCTGCCTTTGCAGACGAGTTAATTAAAGCCCCATTAGCGAAAGCTGCTCAGAGGGATAAGATGCTGCTGGAGCCTTTACAGTGCCAGCTCCTCCTCCAGTCCCCTCCCAGGGGCAGGGGGGGCTTGGGGCACGTTTTCCTGACCGGCAGGTTCCCTTTGCCAGGCAGCAGCATCGGCACCAAGCTGGGGTCTGGGACTGAGGAACCAGCTGGGACCATGGGCTAAGCCACACTGCTAATGCCGGGTGGGATGGGTCATGTAGGAGCCCGGGTGAAGGACACGCAGCAGCCTGAGCACCAATCCCAGTGCAATCAGTGCTTGCAGTGCAAGAGCATCTCTGCTGTGGAGAACGGGACTCCCAGCCTGGAGCATCCCAGGGTATCCTGGAGCATCGCAGGGTATCCTGGAGCATCCCAGGGTGTCCTGGAGCATCCCAGGGTATCCTGGAGCATCCCAGGGTGTCCTGGAGCATCCCAGGGTATCCTGGTGCATCCCAGGGTATCCTGGAGCATCCCAGGGTATCCTGCTGCACTGGGAGCCACTCGGGGCACGCATCCCTGCCCGGGGACCCCCATCCACAGTGACCCCCCCCTGCTCTCCCTCCAGCAGGAGCCCAGTGAGGCCCCGACCCCCAAGCGACCCCGCGGACGGCCGAAGGGCAGTAAAAACAAGGCCAGTGCGAAAGGCAGGGTAGGTGCTGGGGATGGGGGATGCTCCGGCCAAGCTCCGTTTTGAGCTCAATTACAAACAATTTGGGGCAGATCTATCGCTGGGGGGGTGTTGGGGGGGGTTGGCTCTGACCCCAAGGTGGGGGAGGGGGGGCAGGAACTGTGCGTGTCAGGATGAGGACAGCAGCGAGGAACCTGTTTGCAAAACAGGCGACTCACATCCTGCGCCCACCCCGTGAGTCATGGGGGGGGGGGGGGGTCCTGCCTGCGGGCCGGGACGTGCCATTGGGGTGATGAATCTGGCAGTCATTGGGTGGGAGGAAGGGGACCGGCACCCTCCCTCCCCCTCCAGCAGCAGCCTGGGGATGAGGGACCAGACCCAGCTTGACCAAAACGTCTCTTTTTGCCCCCAATTTGCTCAGAAAGCTGCAGTCACACCAGGGAGAAAACCTCGAGGACGACCCAAAAAGTCGGTGAGTGGGGTTTTCCCTTCCCTCTCCATGCTGGAAGGGAGCTTGGACCTTTGTGTGTGTGTAGCAGCCCCCCCGTGCATTATGGTCACCTCTAATTTTGTGCTTTCCTCCCTTAACTTCACACCCCACAACCCCCCCTTAGTTTACAGCCCCATGGGATGTAGCAGGCACCCACAAGTGCAACCCAGCCAGTTGGGAGCAGGTTTCATCTCCCTTCCCCACGTGCACATCCTATTATCCCCAGCCCTGTGCCACATCCCCACGGACAACCCGGACACCCAGCAGCATCCTCAGTGTGATGCTGCTCTGCCCCACGTGAGGATTTGCCCCTTTTCCCACTTCAATTCCTTGTGGAAGGCAAAGGAGCTGACACCAACCAGGGCTGGTTGCATCCTGGGGTCTCCTGGCCCGGTGGCACAGAACCAGGGACTGATTTGGGGCCCCCAGGGTGGGACCGAGCCCATCCCATGCCCGGGACACCGTGTGCTGCTGCTCCATGAGGGCCGGCGCTGACTCATGCTCACACTCGCCCTGACTCAGCACCACGTGTGGATGCTCATGGCCACCCTGGGGGGCACTTGGGGACAGAGCAGCATCACATCGGGATGTGGGGCTCCCTCTTCACACTGAGCCCACCCAGAAGGGGGGTTCTTACCTGGGATTGAACCTGCAATGGTCAGACCCGGAGCAAAGGGCAGTGCCGTGGTCCAGGGGGATGCTGGTGCCTCCCTCTTTGCATAAGGGATGCGATGTGCCTGGGGAGCCCTTCATCCATGGATAACGGGGGGTACCTGCAGCCCCTGGCCCCCCCTGACCGCTCTCCCTCGCCTCGCAGCAGCAGGATGAAGAGGAGGTGAACATTTCCCAGGAATCATCCGAGGAGGAGCAGTGAAGCCTCCGGAACCGGCGCTACCTCATTGCCTGATCGACGGTCCCGTGTCCCCGGCGGCCGGGGGACAGGGATGGGGAGAAACCCACGGCGCGGCCCTGGCTTTGTCCTCCTCCCTCCTCCGCTCCCTTCTCACCCTCAGACAACGGCAGCACTGGAAAATGGCCCAACCCGGGTGGCCCCCACAGCCCCCTGCCCCAGTTCCCCTCTCTCCCCAGTGCTGGGTTATGGGGCAGCCCCACCGGCAAAGGGGGTGCCTGGCAGAGAGCTGGGGCTGGGACCCCCTGCCTTTGCTGCCCCCCCAATGCAGCGATCTCACCCATCCAAAGCAGGCACTGGGCTTTGTCCCAAGGACCCTGCAGGGAAGGGATGAGGGGGTCAGCGAAGGCGAGACCCCCACATGGATCTGACCTTAGCCCTGGCCTGCTGCTACCCCAGGCAAACCTCCCCTTGTGCCCCCCCCAAGTCCTGGGCAACTGCTCCGTGTGTGTGGGAGCAGCACCCGCAGCACTGCTGGGGCTCGGTGCCCATCCATGGGGTTCCCAAATGGGGCCAGCTCAGGGCAGCCCCTTCCCCCTCGGTTCTGCTATAAACAGAGAATTGTTTTTTAGTACTTGCTTTGGGGTTGTTTTCCTTTCATTCACAACTACCTCTGGATATTTAAGTTCCTCTCTGCACTCACACACGTGCTGCTGCTGTGCCGGGGCATCGCTGGCTCCAGGGTTCCTTTCTCGGGGGTGTCGCTGGGGGCCGGGGGCTGTTTTTGGTTTGGTTTTTCCCTTCCCCTTTGGGTTTTTTTGGGCTGGTTTTTGTTGGTTTCATTAATTGCTGATTTTACAGCCGAGGTTTTTGTTCTCCTGCTCCCCGGGCCAGCGGCCGCGGCGGGATGGGGACTGTGGGATGCTCCCCCTCCGCACCGCTCCCTGCACAGCGGCTGCAGCGGGACCGGGGGTCGGTGCCGGGCAGCCCCAGTGGGGGACAATTGGGGTTCGGTTGGTTTGGTCTTTTCCTTTTGGGTTCACTGTTAACGACCTTTTGGGTTCCTCTTTGCAGTTACTTGAATAAAACATTTTATGGACGTTTGACGCCTCTGCCCTGGTCCATGCACACAGGCACGAGCGGATGCTCCGCAAGGAACCTTCTCCACAGGACCTTGATGGTGCCATCCTCCAAGGGATGGATGGGAGCTGCCAACGGGAACAGAAACAGGCAAAACCCTGCTGCCCACCCACCCCAAGAACCCCCATCCTCAGCACCTTTATACAACCAAACCCAGCCACGATGCTGCTATGGTGGGGACACGATGCTGACCCCCAGGCTGGCCTGTGGCCTGCTCAAACCCTCCCTGCCCTACGCAGGAGGCTCTGGCCGAGTGCAGAGAAACACCTTTATTGGCTCCAGCACCGCTGCCACACAGGCATCGTGCCCCCCGCACCCTGCAAAGGCCCGCATCCGGATGCTCCCGCACCGGGTACCAGCCCCAGCCGCCCCACTCTAAGGGGCTGGCAGGGCAGCTCAAGCAAAGGAAATCAGCAGAACTTGGTGCCAAGGTGGGAGATCGCCCGTTAGCATCAGCGCCCATGGCCTGGGATCACTCCCGGCAACGCCACGCTACTCCGGGTGCATCCTGCCCTTCCCGGCAGGCAGCGGTGCCGGTGCGGATGCGTTCATCCCTTGGCCCCTGCGGGCAGGAGTCAGCCCCAGCTCTGCAGCAGGATCAGGCCTTCCAGTCCCCGCGCAGGGGCCGGAGGGGCGCAGCCCCCCCCCAGCCGGGCACCACCTGCAACACACAGTGCTATGGGGAGGGACGGCCCCAGCCCTGACCCAGAGGGGCAAAGCAACCCCAGACTATGTCGGGATGGGTTGGAGGAGCCACCACAGCCCATGCCTCCCGTATGGATGATGCCCAACCCCTCGCTTAGCTCCCAGAGATGCTCCCGCGGGGCAGGTTCCCACCCGGACCCGAAAACACCCGCGCCGCTGCTCAACGCTGCTTCCCCATGTCAAAAGATGGGCACGGCTGGAAAACGCCCCACGCAGCCAAACCCAACGCGTGCAGCCCCGAACCACGGGAGCGGCTCAACCCACCCGAGCATCCTCTGCCTGCACCAGCAGCTCCTGCTCCGACTCCTGCAGCTCCTCGGCCGGGTCGTAGCTGTACATGGGCAGCAGGCGGTGCCGCAACCGGTCAAACCTGCCCGGGGCGCGGCGGCTCAGCAGGGTCCGGTCCCACGGCTCCCCCCCGGCCCCATCAGCCCGCACCCCGCCGCTCACCTCCGCTTCTTCTGGATGTACATCACCTGCGGGGAAAGGCGTCAGCGGGCACCGGCAGCCCCGGACCCCCCCCCAACCCCAACCCCATCCCTGCCCCGACCCCACTCACCGCGGCCAGGACGGCGCCGAGGAGGGTGACGAGGACGAAGGGTCCCAGGACGTAGCCCACCAGCGAGTCCCCCGCCGCGCCCGGGGCCGTGGGGGCCGTGGCGTTGCTCATAGCCCAGCGCCGGCTCCTGCCCGCATCGGGACACCCGAGTCCGGCCCCACCGGGGGGGGGGGACACGACTGCGGGCGGGGGTCAGCGCCCGGCGGTAACGACCCCGGGACACGGGGAGCCCCGTTCGATGGGGGGGGAGGGGGGGGGGATGGGACACACGGAACGACCTCTACCCCCCCCATCCCCCAACCCTGACCCCCGCCCCCCCCCCCCCACCGCATCCCCGCATCCCCGCCCCACCTGCGCGCGCCGCGCACCCCCCGCGCCCGGAACCCACGCGGAGGCGCGTGACGGGCGGGGCGGGGCAAGGGGCGGGGCCTGAGGGGCGGGGCTGGGGGGCGGTGGCAGAGCGGGACCGGGAGGGGGCAGCAGAGACCGGGCTGGGGGGGGGTGGTGAAGGAGGGAAAGGGAAAAATGAGGGAGGAAAAGAGGAAAGAAAAGGGAAAAATGGGAAAATTGAAAATAGTGGGGAAAGAAGGAAAAAACAGGGAAAAATGGGGAAAAGGCTCTTGGGGGGGGGTGTGGAAGCAACGGATGGATGCAGGATGGAGGGATGGGGCAGAGGGGTCGGTAGGCTCAGGGATGATGATGGACAGAGGGACAATAGAGATGCAGGCAGAGGGCGAGGAGACAGGGCCGTGGTGGTGCCGGCGGTGTCACCCGTGGCGATGGCAGCACCCAGCCCTGATCCCGGCCGTGGGGCTAATCCGCTTTGCTCGCGCTGGGACCAGATGGCCCCAGTAAGTGGGTCAGCCCCTGGGAGTGGGAGGCACTGGGGAGCAGGGAGCCACGGTTTGCTTCCTAAGGACTAAGAACAATGAGGTGGAAGAGAGGAGCCGGGAAAAGGCAGAGCTGGGGGGCCTGCTCTCCTGCCCCTGGTCCCCAACCCCATTGGCACACAAGAGCATCACACCTGAGCAGGGCATTGTGGGATGCTCCCAGCAGCTCCTGCTGCCCTGCATCCGTCTCTTCCCAGCTAAAATAAACCCAACTGCTTCTAGGGAAGTCCTTGAGAGCGTGAGGGAGCAGATTGGGGCTCACACAACCCCTCCCCATAGCCACAGCATCTCCAAATCCTGAGTGGCTCTTTCCCCATCCATCGCTGCCCAGAGCATCCAGATGGGGACAAATGGGGAGCTGAGCGATTCTCATCCCTGGGGAAACCTCCCCAGGGATGCTGAGGTCAATGGCATAACCTGGCCTGGAGATGTGGCACCTTTGTGACTGGGGTGGAAGGTGGGTTTTTAGCGGACAATGAGCTAGAATAGTGACACGGGGTATTTCTGCTCCAGAACTTGCAGTGGGAGGCACCAGCCCCTTCTCCTCCTCTGCTCAGACCCCAATAAGGTAACTGGGGACAGCTTCGCTGAGCACTAAGCTCCATTTAAGCAGCTAAGAGCAAGCAACCGGATTTCCAACCCATGCATCGCTCCCATGCTCACCCAGCCAGAGGTACCAGGGCAGGGGAAGCACCAGCCCCGGGCCCACCAGAGGTTAACCTTGCCTTTGGCTCCATGCTGCAAATGTGAGCCAGGGGTTTCCCTGGCTGTAATAACGCAGGACAGGAGGAGCCCGGTTGCGTTCAGATCCCAAGGGGAATTTGCAAAGGAAGGTTAAGAGATGCACCTTCCAAACCACTTTGCAGATAAGCACCAGAGTTCTTCTGGCATGCTTACACAGGCATGAGACCACTGAAGGGTCTGGGATACCCTTTGGGAAAGCAGTCAGATGGTGGCAGAGCATTTGTGCGTCCACACGCACGGAGCCATCACCCTCGGTGTCCCCACACAGCGCTCAGCCCAGCTCACGTGGTGCCAGTGGGCACTTGGCCTCTCGGAAAGGACTTTGTGAGATGGACGTGAGCAGAGCTGGAGTCAGGACCACTCCTGCTCCACGAGGCCCTTGGCCAGGACTAGGAGCATCCAAACAAGACTCACGCTGGTCTCAGTGCAGGCTGCCCTCCCTGCTCAGACGAGCCCATCTCAGCTTCACGCTGTTGGTGGCATCCCTCCGGATTTCCTTTTCCATCCCAAGCCACTTTCTCCTTTAGCGCCCGATGTCCAAGTTCCCATCTGTGGGTAACAGCACCGGGAGGGAGAGAGACCACGCAGCGAGGCGAGCTGTGTGTGGAACACTGGCGTGTTTATTGGTTGGCACTGGGTTACAGCCTGCGCTGGTCAAACCTGCACCCTCCAACTTTCAGTTTCCTTAAGTCTCTTACAGACAGCGGTGACCTCTCCTCACTCACACACACAGACACAGGCACCCTGAGAAAGGAACCAGCCAACACCAGCCATCGACATCTCGGAACACACCAAGGCCTCACTGCAGAAGAGGGATGGGGGGTTTGTACCGATAGCAGAGCTGAGTGTGGAGTGGGCACTGAGCCCCCCCGCTCTCTATGTAGACACTACGGGGTCCAAAGTACATAGGTATAGCTATCCCTGCCAGCCAAGACTAACCAGGAGCAAGAGAGCACCTGCGCTGTTCATGAGCTCAAACTAAGATCTGAGCCTCAAGGCAAACAAAACGTTGCTTTCTACTGAATGCATTTGACTTTGGCTGATGTTTCATGAAGGAGAACAAGTCCAAGTCAGTAAGAAAGAGAAGCATCAGCTGAAACGCCACATTTCCAAAGCACTCTTGCAGTTGTGTTTTTTGCAAACCATTTCAAACAACCACATGTTAACGTTATCAGATCAGAAACACGAAGCACTCAAGTGAGGAACAGAAGTCTGCAGCCAGAAGAATAAACCCAAACAGATTAAGGGGAATTACAAGTCCAAAACCATCCAGAATTCACAGAGAACTGAGCATTTAACTTATGCCTCACTGAGAATCGCAGCCTTCTTTTAATCTAATAAACTAGCAACTCTGGTCTCTACATCAGTTTTCCTCCTCTGAGCTCACTGATGCTTCCATGTGAAAGCTGGGCAGCAGCAGCACAGGAGCCCACACTGAGTTATCCCAATCACGCAGGAGCAGGGAATGCCAGGAGATCACTCACTACCTCTGCTGCTGCCACCAGGCCTGGGCACTGAATGACTTGGAAAAGTATCTGTGAGGCTTTAGGACACCAACCTTTTCCCTAAGGATCGCTCCCACCGGTGCTCCATGCATGAGGCCAGCACAGGTCAGTACCTGGGTGGGTACCAAAGTCTTACCCTTGGTTGTGAAGCTGCACTGGAACCAGCTCAGACATGAAGAAACAGTCATAGCCCCACAGCTTCCATCTCAAGGTCTCGGTTCCATGAAGGATGGAGAAGCCACAGCAGAGGCATCCACACCGCTGCCATCAGGGTGATCATTTATCCCACTGCTCTGACCGGCACCGGGAATGCTGCCGGGGACAGAGGGTCTGGGAAGGCCGAGCAGGAAACACAAAGGGATTGCTCCAGATCTTCTGATGTAATAAATATCAAATAGGACGCACAGAGGTTCAAGCAAACACTCTTGGACCTCCCGAGGTTCATTTCTGAGGCAATTCTAGAGCAAATTTCTCAATTATAACTTCAAAATTCTCACTTTCCCACAAAAAAGGAAAGGAAAAAAACCTATCAAGTAGCACCAAAAAGAGGTTTTATAAATCTC